TGACCCTTGTCCCATCACTGGGCACCACCGACAAGAATCTGGCCCCAGCCTCTTGATCCTCACCCTTTAGATATTGATGAGCTTTGGTTGGATCCCCTCTGAGTCTTCTCCAGGCCAAACAGCCCCAGGGCTCTCAACCTTTCCTCCTCACAGAGATGCCCCCTCGGCATCTTTGGAGCTTCCACTGGACTCTCTCCAGTAGCTCCTGGTCTCTCTTGAACGGGGGAGCCCAGAACTGGACCCAGGACTCCAGAGGTGGCCTCACTAGGGCAGAGCAGAGGGGCAGGAGAACCTCCCTTGGCCTACCAGCCACACTCAATGCACCCCAGGAGGCCATGGACCTTCCTGGCCACTTTGCTGGCCAACTGACCACTCCATGGTCAACCTGGTGTCCACCAGGTCCTTCTCCAGCAGGTCAGCCCTGACCTGTCCTGGTGCAGGACCCTACACTTGCCCTGGCTGATCTTCATGAGGTTCTTCTCCACCCAACTCCTCAGCCCACCCAGGCCGTGCTGAATGGCAGCAGGACCTTCTGCTGCATCAACCACTCCTCCCAGTCCAGCACCATCAGCAAACTGGTTGAGGGTCCACCCTGCCTCTCCATTGAGGTCATTGATGAAGATGTTGAAGACTGGACCCAGTCCTGACCCCTGGGAGACACTGCAAGCTACAGACCTCCAGCTAGACCCTGCTCCACTGACCATAACCCTCTGAGCTCTGTCCTTCAGCCAGGTCTCAGTCCACCTCTCAGGTCTCATCCAACCCCCACATGCTGAGCTTACTTATGAGTCTGTTGGTGGACACCGTGCCAGGAGCTCGTCAACCTGATCATCATTAGGGTACAGTAAAGGTGACCACACCCTTCTCCACCAAGGGCAGAGGAATTCCCAGCACTGAAACATCACGTTTGGCCTTCTCCTGGTGCTGTACAAAGAGGCACCTGCTCAAATCCATCTCAAGATCATGAGATTCATCCCGAGCTCCAGGGAGACCTCTGAGCTCATGTCCGAAATGTGCCTTCTGGTGGAAACGGGCATCTCCAGGTGACAGGTCATCTACTGGATGCTCTTAAGTTGTGTTGTACAATTTTAGCTTGGTCCTGTCTCCATCAGGATAGAGCTCAGATGCCTTCAGTGAAATGGCAAAGCTGGGGTGGGTTGTACCAGTGTTTTTCCAGAATGGAGAACCCAAGAACCTACCAAAGCTGAGGAGCCATCCCTGGGCTGGTTCACCACACTTTACCCACCGTAAGACCATAACTGGAGGTAGGCAAAAGAAAATGGAAAACCCCACCACAGACCACCCTTCCCCTCCAAACTTTCTGGTCCCTTCTCCCCTTTGCCCTGTGCCTATAAAAAAAAATAAAGCCTTTCTTAGTCAATCAGACAATTTGCTGATTCAGTTCAGGAAATGAAGCTCCGTGTTGGCGCTTCCCGGAGTTCTGGACCTTCAGAGGTGATCTCAGCAGACACCAGCCCCAAGGAAGGTGCTTCCCCGGAAGAAGGTTTTGCTGGAAGTGCTTTTGCAAGCCTCTGAAGTGACTGGCCCTTCTCGGAACCATTTTCTTACTGCAATCCTCCTTTCCTGGTTTGTTTTCTTGTGACGTTTTCAGTTCTCCTTGCGTTGGAGCCCAGAGCTACGTGCACCGAAGCAGAAACAAACTCATCCCCTTGTGCTGTGAAAAGTTTGGTCTTTAGTTGTCCAGGTGTTTGTCCTGGATGTCCAGGCAGTGAAGTTGGAAACAAAGCAGAGCTTTGGAATTATTATTATTAGGTTTTTTTTCTGAGTTCTACTTTAGTTCTTGGATCACAACGACTTGAGTCTCAGGATCCCAGCAGGGTGAGGGCTGGAAGGGACCTCTGGAGATGACCTCGTCCAACCCCCCTGCTCCAGCAGGGTGCCCAGGGTGGTGTCCAGGTGGGTTTGGGATCTCTCCAGAGCAGGAGACTCCACAGCCTCTCTGGGCAGCTGCTCCAGGCTCTGCACCCTCACACCAAAGAATTTTCTCCTCCTGCTCAGGTGGCACCTCCTGGGTTCCAGTTGGTGCCCATGGCCCCTTGTCCCGTCACTGGGCACCACCAACAAGAATCTGGCCCCAGCCTCTTGTCCATCACCATTTAACTCTTGCTCAGCCTTGACTGGATCCCCTCTGAGTCTTCTCCAGCTCAGCAGCCCCAGGGCTATCAGCCTTTCTTCATCCCAAAGATGCTCAAGGCTACCTG